CAGGACTAAGAAACAAATCTCGGAACCCAGTGGCTTTTAGCAGAAATGTGTTTGGACCCCGCAGTAGGTTACCATCGCTGGGCTGCCCCAGGGGGAAAGGGGTGTTGTCCCTCTGCCTGCTCTCCCTTGGTGACTCGGTGGCTGCCATCTTCCAGAGGTCACTGGACAGTCAGGTTTGGGCCCTTAGTGATGAGACTTGCAGGGCCTCACGTGATGGGGGGGGGGGAGTTGGCCCTTTCCTTCCTGTCTCAATGAGACCCCGAGTCACCACCCATGAGTGGCCTTTCTGGCTCCTGATGAAGCTGCTTAATGGCCATGATCCCAGAGACTCAGGAACAAATCTCGGAACCCAGCAGATTTTGGCAGAAATCCCTTAAGATTTAAGTGTTAAAATTTCGGAATTTCAAAATTGTGTGGCTACTACTGCAGCCACACGACATCATATGTTATTCATAACCAGCAATAGAAAACAAATGGTCTACTGTTGCCTTTTTAGAAAATCTGAGTGTTGGGGTAAAATCCCAAATAATAATGGTGGGTCTGGTGTCAAAATATTGAATGTAATCAAAGTAGAGAGAGAGTAATGTGGAAATCATCTGCCCCACAGGTAGGGAGAGGGTGTAGGATAGGGGTATACTGGGATTTTTAGTGGTGGAGAATGGGCACTGGTGAAGGTATGGGTGTTTCACTGTATGACCAAGACTTAAACCTGAAAGCTTTGTAATTGCTTTCACGGTGATTCAAAACATAAAATTATAAAAAATGAAAAAAAATAAAATGATTAACTTCAGCACTGTACTTTTGGAACTTGTATTTTATTAGAGAGAGATACAAGGAGTAAATGTAAATAAATTATTACAGAAAAGCATCAGTTCATTTTCATTGTTTATGTTGAGTCTACATTTATTTTAACACAATTTCTCAGGTTTTTCTGATCATCATTCTTTTACCATGTATTTCTTGTCTCTGGTTTTCTAATAATATTTTATTTACTTAGTTTGCTGTTTATGAAGTGTAATTTTCTTCATTATTCACCAGTGACATTTATTTTTCTGTCATTCATGTAAGGTTGTTTCACATAACTAGTGTGGGATAAATAAATAAAGTAAAATAGTAAATGGTTCTGTGCATTATACCTAAAAAAAAGTTGATACATTATAAAACAAGACAACAACAAAAAGGTTTGTGAAGTGTTAGTGATGAGAGAAGTCTTTTTATACATTAATTGATTTTAAAAACTGTATAAAGTGTGATTATATACATTATTACCACTATATAAAAATATTAAAAATTAAAAAGATGAAGGGAATACACAAAAATGTCAGAGAGGGTTCTTTCTGGATAATAAGACCATAGATAATTTCTCAAAAGAAGAAAAAAAATTTAAATCTCTTTAACTTTTCATGTTTCTCCACTTTCTGAGAGTTCATATTTCTCCCCCAATCAAGTAAAACAAAAGTATAACTTAAAAATAAAATGTGATCTCAGGTTTTATTTAAAAATAATATCATTCTTTACACATGTTTTGTCAGATAGCTTTCTATTCTTTTGTCTTGGCAAACACCAACACGTAGATAGAACACAAAATGACCAAACCTCACACTCTGGCATAATAGAAGGTATTTTGATTTGATTTAAAACAGTTAAGATATAAACATACATTTTTCTACTAATTATTATTTTCACTAGGTAACTCTAACTTAACTCTAACTTAAAAGAAGTAGCTATCACAGAAGACAGCAAAAGAAAGCCTTATATTGTTTATTGTGTAGTAAACATATGGTCTTTCATAGTCCAAGAAATAGCCTCAAGTCTCAGGAGGGATGCTGAGGAGAGCCATCCTCTCATTGTCTTCCAGATAGTGCGTTAAGACAGACAGGATGGAACAGCCAGCCTGGAGGGCAGGGGAGGGGCCCCGCCCTGGCAGCAGGTCAGCTAAATTCAGTCTTTCAGTGGTTTGGCAGATGGCACAGCCAGATTGTTCCACCAGCCTGAAGCTTCTAACAAAAACAATTACACTCAAGAAGATATAAATTCATGCTACAATCAGATTCCTAATATTAGCTGGGCACAGAGGGGGCAATGCTCTTGTTGGCTCACGTGGTGAGCAGAAAAGTCTGATCGGGAATGGGCAGAAAAAGGGAGCAAACCTGACTTTTGCAGAGACACAAACCTTGAGGGCGCTCTGAGAAAATCAAGTTTACGCCTCATCACTCTGCTCCCTTACCAGCCTCAACCATTTACACCCACTTGGGAACAGTTCTTTCACCTTCGCTCCTGTAGGTTTCCTTGAAATCACAGAAAACACATTTGGGGAACTTGGGACTAATCTAGAAAATACAGTGTGAGTTCATGATGGGTAAAAAAAAAATCACAAAACTAAATTTTGACGATAAATGTTGAGAGATTTAGCATAAAAATTAGGATTGGAGACTTAAAAAATAATTGAGAAATTGTAATCTGGTCTTCACAGGGTTGTAGTGGCCAATGTTCCTCTTAGATGGTGAGATTCTGTCAATTTGCCACAGTCCTCAGGCAGTCCTTTGAAATTCCTGGCTTGGCCCCTTTAGGCATGCCTGAGGATTTTAAATCTCAGAGCAATTCACAAAACTGGTACCCTAGCCTTGAGTAAAAAAAGCCTCCAGTGATACAAAATTCATTCAAAGCTACACTTCCGGTAAGTAATTCTGATAAAGACAGACCTGCTTAAGCACTATAAACATGCCCAAAGACATGCTGGGAGAACAGAAAAAGAAATAAGCCCCTGAAAGTTAGGGGCACCATGGGCAGGCAACTAAAAACAGAGGGCCTTTAGAGACTGGGGCATTGAATAGAAAACTCTCAGCCTAGTGTTTGGAACTTAGTAGGAGGTTAATATATTTGTTTCCATCTTCCTAAGAGCAGATGCAGAGCACAGCAAGGAGGAAATGGAGCCAGAACAGTGTAATGCAATGCACAAAAGCACAGCATGCCAGGAGAGAAGGGAGGAGGTAATTGTAGCCTAGAGAGCTGTTGCTGCCTCAGAACAAGACTAGAGATGTTAGAATGACAGAGCCAGGTACTATAAGGGGCACTGCATACCCAGGGCATGAATTTGATAGAAGTTTGCTTGTCATACATCCATATGGCAAGGAAGTACAGTGAGTAGGCAGGATGGAGAGTAGAGGAGGACATCGAGAAGCAGAAATACAGATGAATTCACACCAACATACTGGTGAATTCAACTCAGCTGACGGATTGTTGGTTAAAACTGTAACAGAACATAGTTAAAAATACAGAGAATGTGAAACTTATGCAGAATAGCTGTGTTCAGTTGAAGTATAGACTTTCTATTCTTAGCTGGAATAAGTTATTTACTCTATGTGTGTGTGCGTGATTTACCAACGGTGTGACTAGTTATTTTGGAATGATTTATTTAAATTTCAACCAAAGAAATGGGGATACTACCTGAAGTAAAATTTTCTGAAGCATCATGTTACTTTAGTAATAATCAAAGAATGTGTCATAGAGGCTGATGAACTGGGGAAAGGAAGGTTATGGATGTAGTAATTCCTCCCCCTCAGCCCTTTCCTTAGGGTCAGAGCCAACCACTCACTGTTTATACATGAGGCAGCTTTTGCAGTATTTATTTCTTTAAATATTTAACAGTCTTGAGAGGCAACGGCTGGCAATAATATGTAGAGTTTCTAGCATGTTATGAGTGCTTAATAAATGGTAAAACAATAAAATCCTGCATGATGAAAACCAGCTGTCAATCTCTTAGGCTCTAAACTATTTTAAAGCTACAGTAGGAACTGCTTGGAAAAGTATACAGAGCAATCACAGTGTCTTGATTCAACTATGGAAATAAGGAAACTTGAGTCGCTGAAAAAAAAAAACAGAAGAAGAAAAATATCCACCAGGTGCTTTCCTCTTAAATTCCTTGGGTGACTGAGATAAGGCATAAAAAAAAAAAGCGAAAAAAGTATGCATTTTTTTAAAAAAGAACCAAAAACAACAAACAACCCACAACCCACCCTTAAAACCAAAGCAAGCAAACCCACAGCGGTACTGCGCGGAGAAGGAAACGGTAACATCCTGTACAATGGCGCGGTGCTCCCAAGCGCCTTCACTGCCCCCTTCTAATCCGCACCGATGAGCAAAGCCTTCCCCAAATTGGCGGATGTCCCGCGGTCCCTGAAGGACTGGCTTTTGGAAGGCCAGTCGAGGCACCCGGGTGGACCCGGGGGTGGGGTGGGTGCGCTGCACCTCCCCAAAGCCCGGCGCACGGGAGAAGCCCTGGGAAAGCGCAGGCTCTTCTGCCCCAAGAGGAAGTTCTTTATTTACCTCTACGTAAACCCGGGAAATCTCAGCGCGACTAAGTGGAGGGGGCGGGGGGGGCGTGTGTGTGTGTGGAAACTTGACCGCGGCGCTTCCGGGATCGGGGCGCCGCCGCCCGCGGCCGTGGAAGTGGGCGGCGAGGACGCAGGACCTAGGGTCGTAACTTGGGAGAAGGGAGCTGGGGAGGTGGTGGTGGTGGTGGTGATAGTGGGGCAGTAGGCATTAAAAAAAAAAAAAATAGAGCTGCTCCTTTAAGAAGTTCCCGTCCCGGTTACTCTATGTTTACATAACACGGGGGGCCGCTCGGCGGCGGGGCCCGCGCGGGGCGGGGAGTGGGCGCGGGGCCGGCGGGAGGTCCGGCGGCTCCACCTGTGCCCGCGTCCCCGCGCCCCGGCCGCGCCCCTCCCCCGCGCTGCCCCCGCCCCTCTCGGCGCGCTCGCTCGCTCGCTCCCTCCCTCCCTCCGCTCTCCCGCGGGGCTTCGGCGGCGGCGTTGGCGGCGGCAGCGGCGGCGTTTGGCGCTGGCGCTCGGCGCGGCCAGGTTCTTCCCCTCCCCTCCCCTGCCCGCCGCACTCTCCTGCTGCCCGGTCCCATTTGTGGCCGAGTCCCAGCTCCGGGCGGTCGCGGCGCTCGCCGAGCTCCCGGGAGTTACCCCCCCTCCCCACCACCACCACCACCACCCCCGACCCGCCCCTCTCGTGGGGGCCGCCGCACAGTCACGACGGAGCAGCCCCGGGACTGGCCGCCTCGCGCCCCCTTCGCCGCCGTGCCCTTCCCCGGCGCGCTCACCCCCTTCTCGGGATGGGATTGTAGCGGCGGCGCGGACTCGGCGGGCATCGCGGCGGAGGCGGCGGCGGCGGCGGCCGAGCGGGGCTCCATGTTTTCCCCCGGCCAGGAAGAGCACGGCTCCCCCAATAAGGAGCCGGTGAAATACGGGGAGCTGGTGGTCCTGGGGTGAGTCCGGGAGCGTCGGCGGGGTGCGGAGCGCTCCGGGCTGGGTGGCCGCGCGGAGTGCGGACCTTCCCGAGCGGGGCCAGCATTGAAAGGGAGGGGGGGTGGTGGTGGTGGTGGTGGTAGGGAGAGTCGGGAGCTCTTTGGGGAGCACCTCCGGGGGCGCTAGCGGCGGCGACGGAGCGGGGTGCCCCCCAGCTCAGTACCCCCCAATCTCAGGCGCGCGGGGCGCTGCGGCGCCGGGATGCGCTCTCCGCTCCGTGGGGGTGGCGGAGCGGGACGCTCCCGGGCCGCGGTGGCCAGGGGGACTGGGGTGACCCAGGGTCTCGGTGCCTGGCCCTACTGCTGGGGGGCAGCTTCTCCGCTTCCTCCCGCACTCCGGGCCGGGGAGGCTGGGAGTGGGGAGAGGCACCGCCGTCGCGAGCGCTGCGCAGGGGGCAGAGGACGCGTCCCCCACCCCTCCCGGGGTTCCGTAAAGCCGGGAACCCCCGAGGGAGGGTGTCCTCTGCCCCCCACGCGGACGGCTGAGCCCAGGGCTGGGGGACTTCAGGAGCGCCGCGCGCGGCACGCTAGCCTGGTCCTCGGCGGCGGGGTGGGCGCGGGGGCCAGCGCTTTGCCTGTCGTTTGGGTGACCGGGGCAGGGAACTAACTGTCTGCGCCGCGGGCAGGCCGGCCCCGGGCTCTGCCACCTCCCAGAGCGGCTCCAGGCCGCGGAGAGCTCGCCAGCCTCGGCGCCCGCGCCGCGGGTGAAAACCACATTTTGCAGCTAGTAATTATCTACAAGCGTTAAACGGCGGCAATTAGAGACTTCATCCACTTCCTGAGTTTCTCAGTGACATTTCTATTGTTTACCGGGAGCAAGGCTTCGCGGGATTAAAGCTGGATAAAGTGGGAGTGAATAGGGAGGGAGGGGGAAAGTGCCGGGAAACTCGGGAAAAGGAGCGATTTGGGTTTAGATTTGAAGGAGAAAGAACACCCCCCCCCCCCACACTTCCCGCTCCCCAATCTTTTCCTGACCGTGGTTCGTCCCTGGATACCCGAGCTTTTGTCCCACTCGGTTGTTGAAAGAAAGACCTGTATTGAGAACATCCTAGTTGCTGATGGGTAGTTTAGCACGTATCAGTGGAGTCACGGGATTGGAAAAACTTGGGAACTCAGAAAACACAGACACACGTATGTCTTTATAAAAATCATTTTTTAGGGAAGCTTCCAGACACAGCTCAAAGTTGTCCTGACCTCTTCACTTTGTTGCCACAGTCTCGATGGGCTATTACTGTAAACATCATTCACAGTCTTGAAGCTGTTTATAGAGATAAGCTCTTGCCCCCCCTCCTCCCCACTCCCCCCCCCCCCCACCTGGATGGTAATTACACTTAAAAGACAGACGTCTGGATTCTTTGGAAGGAGGGAAAGGAATGACAGTTCTTTCTGTCTTATGTAACCTCAGTTCAGTCTGTGGAGTTTGGTTTTGTTTGTGTGGCTGGTTTCAAACTATGTTTAACATGGTGAACCTGACTCAAAAGATTAACTTATGCCAGGACTTTATTTCATTATTTCCTTTTGTGGAAATTCTGGTTGTGATGTTTGGGAAAAGCAGTGTTATAAGCAGCCCGGGAGAGGTTTTGCTTTCATCGCTGCAAGTACAGGGCATTCCAAAGGCCAGAAACGGATTTATGCTCTGGATCGCCTGGGGTTTCACAGGCTTTCTCTAAAGTCGGCTCTGTGAGTGCGTTGCCGCATGCATGTGCTCTGCCCTTCCTTTCTTGCTGCCTTTTCCAGGAGACGCCTCTCTGACATAGTTGGCATCTGTGTGTATTTGGGGCTGGCACTCAGCAGTCATTTGTGCACCTGCTATGTGCCAGCACTGTCTAGGCATTAAGGAGTCAAGCAGCGAAACAGGAACTTTGATTTTTGTGCGAAGTGGAAAGTACCAACAGAAAGGAGGAGCAACACATGAATAATAAATGACTATTTCAGGTGTTGCCAGTTGCAAGCAGAGGTTGGTGAACTTTGGGAACTTGCTGCTCTAGGCAAGTCCCCCCCACACACACACTTCACTGAGGTCAGGGAAGGCCTCTGCGCTAGTGTAATGTGAGTTCTGGTCAGACTACTGCAAGGGGGCGATTCTGGCTTTTGAATACTTGAGAGAAGTTTTGCTCTTTTTTGTGAGAGCAGGTTTTTGACCCTCCAGCAACATCCAACACATTGAAGAATGCAATGTTGAAGGATGCAAAGAAAACAGAATGTCCTTAACTTGACAGACTTCAAAGTGTGCATTCTGCCCTTAGGACTGGAGTTAGCCCTTCCTCTGAAAATAACAGTAACATTAAAATAAATGTATCAGCTTTGCCTGCCTGATTATGCTGCTTTAGGCAGCTTAGTAGTCTTATTTTTTCTTCTAGTGATAAAAGTAATCTTGAGAGCTGGAAATGCCCAGTGTCACTATTAACAGAAGTTTTTTTGTTTTCTAAAACACCATGATTAAAAAAATAAACTGTTGTATAACTGATCTTTTTTAAAAAAAGATTCTTTCTAAATTTTGTAGCAAAATATCACTGAGAAATCCTGGTGAACAGCCTGAAGGACTATGTTTGTATGTGGTATATGTGAATAACTACCTGTATTTGCATCTATATTCAGATCTGCAACTGTGATGTGATCCTAACCAGTGGACAGTTCATTAATATCATGTGATATGTTGTATGTTATTAAGAGAACTGACCTCTAGTTAGGATTCTAGTAGGGTCAACACTTTCTTGGTAGATTAATGGAATTTCTTGATCTTCACCAGTGATTGTATCATAGCTGGAATTCTTTTCAGCTACTTTACAGAGTGAAAGAGAGAGAAAGTGACTAGATAACCATCTGGCCATTTGGCTTTCTTTTTAGACAAGGCCAGATGTTAAGAATTGGGGAGGTGCATCAGGATTTGAGAGGCAGTTCCTTATAGCCAGTAGAGCCTTGCCTGCAGGAAGGTGATCAGAATTTCATCTTTCTTGCCCACTGGCTTTGTAATCCAGACTCTCTTCCTCTCCCATCTCTGTGTTACTGGTAGTGATGCAGTTTGTTTGGATTAGGTAGTTTTTATAGGCCGTTCTCAGTAGTGAGCATTATTGACTCAAATGTGGAAAATGCTTATCTAACAGGTTTTATGTAGTATGGCATGTGTTGATTCTGTCTCTGCATAAGGTGGTGCTAGTATAACACTAGGTACTGTGTTTCAAAGCAGTAACTGCTTTTTTTTGTAGATATGTGCAAAAGAGATTTTGGATAAAAGTGATAATGATTTGGGGGCCCAGGAGATAGTACTGGGGTTAGGGTGCTTGACTTTTTATGCGCTTGACCCTCGTTTGAGCCCTTGTACTTTATAGCCTCCTGGGCATTGCTGGGTGTAACCTTATAGACCATGAGCATTTCTGGATGTAGCCCAGGTGGTCCATGGCATTGCAGAGCTCTAGCACTACCCCATTTCCAGGCCCTAATCTTGAACTGCTGTACCACTGGCTAAGTATTGTTGGAATTGGACTGTGGGCCCCTGAGTATTTCTTGGGAGGACATCCCTCCCCACAAAATATGAAAAAAAAGTTTGGCTCCTTGGTGTTAGGTTGTACATGAGGACATTCAGTTTGTTTGACTTTTTGTTAAAAGTTTGAGAAAGGCATTGGGTGAGGTTTTGAAATTAAGTAGGGCTGAAGTAGTCAACTTAAGGAAGAGATGATCTGATGGTAGAATTTACCACTGCTAGGGACCTAAGGGGTCATGTTACAATTTTATTTTTTTTAATGGAAGGTGTAGAGTATGGGAAAGGAAGAAATGGAGGGAAAGAGAGAAGAAAGGTAGGAGGTAAGGGTAGACAGGAAAAAGAAAAGGAAAGAGGAAAGGAATGAGGGAAAGAAGGAACAAGGGAATGGGAGAAGGAGGAAGGGAGGAGAGAATGAAGGAGGTAATGAGGGAAGAAAGAGAGGCTAGAAGAAGAGAAGAAAGGAGAGAAGGAAGGAGGGAAGAAGAGAAGTGTGAAGGACAAAGGAAGGAGGAAGTTGGAAGAAGAGAAGGAAGGAGGGAAGGAGAGAATAAGAGAGGAGGAGGGAAGGAAGGAGCAAAGGAAGAAGAGAGATGTGTTCATGTTCAGAGTTCAGAGGTCACTAGGTCCTGGTCACTTGTCCCACTCCGGTGGACAGATGCTCAGTGTTTGTAGAAGTTTGAAGTGCTCTGGATCCTTTTCTGGGTTCAGTTTGAAACATGCATCTCTCTTGCTGACTAATGAACCATCATAGGTTTTGGAAGAATATTGCTTACTCTACTTCTCCTTTCACAGTCAATGGATAATGTATTTTTGCAAGGTTTTATTTTAACTTGATGCTTCGCCAATTTTTTTTTGGCTCTTTCAGCCCCGCCCCCCCCCCTTCCCTTTTATTTGATCTTGGAGCCACACCTGGCTGTGTTTAGGTGCTTTGGGATCACTCCTAGCAGGGCTAAAGGACCATATATAGTGCCAGCAATCAAACCGGTTCAGCTCTGTGCTAGACAAATGCCTTATGTGCTGCATTATCTTTCTAGCCCCAGTACCCCATTAAAACATTTTGGGGCATTGGGGCTGGAGCTATAGCACAGTGGGTAGAGCGTTTGCCTTGCCTGCGGCTGACCCGGGTTTGATTCCCAGCATCCCATGTGGTCCCCTGAGCACCGCCAGGGGTAATTTCTGAGTGTAGAGCCAGAAGTAACCCCTGTGCATTCCTGAATGTGACCCAAAAAGAAAAAAATACAAAACAAAAAACAAAACAAAACAAAACAAAAAAACATTTTGGGGCATTACCGGCCAGTTCTTGGGAGGCCATGTGGTGCCAGGGATCAAACCAGTGTCCAAAAATGAATTTCAGGGAGCACTTAAACTTGGGAGGGGGGATAGGGTACATCATTATTTGTTTTTTTGAATTTTTTTGATACTCAAACTGAAATCTACATTTTATTCAACATGGATAGAATAACAAATAAGGTCTGCTACA